TGTGTGTGTGTGTGTGTGTGTGTGTGTGTGTGTGTGTGTGTGTGTGTGTGTGTGTGAGAGTGTGTCTCCAGCTCTCTCTCTCTCTTTGCTGTTGTTTCCATAGCGACATAGCTCTCTTGAATTCCTGCTCCGTTCTTTTCATTTCTGCCAACAAAAGCCATGTTGCACAATAGAGCAACCTCTTCCTACAGAAATCTGTTTATCCCAACACACACACACACACACACACACACACACACACACATAAGGGGTCATCCTGACAGAGGAAACTGTACAGCACCATCGCTTTACTGTTGATCACTGAAAAATACTCTACAGGTGACTAGCCAGGTGTAGTCTGTCTTTACACTCTTTGACTTTTTTTTCTGCTCTTGCTTGCAACCTACTTCCAAAAATAGCCGCCAGCCACAGAGGAGGAAAAGGTTTTATCGGCCTGCCTGGGCCTAAACTGAACTTAACAGAAACGGGCCTCGTTTTACAAGATGCTTGAAGCACACGTGACAGGAACCACATAGAGGGGAAGACAGATGAAGTGAGCATGCAGGTGACATGCACCGAGAGTGAAAACGTTAATGGGAGGTACTTTGTGCCAGAACTCTGAAGAGCTTTTATATAATTGCAGACAGGCTTTCACCCAACATTGACTGGAGTGGTTATAGCATTTTATTTTTCTCTCTGTTCCCTAGCAACAGACATCCTCTAGTACTGAGTTGTGTCAGTTTGAGTCGACCAATAACTGCTTCTCGTATCACCGCAGATTTGGTGATGCTGAAGCATATTTAAATCGCACCTGTGGGTTCAGAACAATGGTACAGATGTTTACATTAACGCCTAAAACAGCTAAAAAAAAAAAAAAGAGGTGTGTTGGTCATCTATACAAAAATGAATAATTAAAAGTTTCACGAGAAGACAGAAGTTGCACTGAAATGCCAAATCATTCAATGTATGTCATTAATGTTAATTTTGTCTTTAGAAAAGCTGTCAGCACTTCGAGATTAAGCTCCATAATGTCTAAACTCTACTGATAAACTCAGAAGGCATCATGTGCCGCTTCCCTGCTGCTTCTCTACTTTGATTCCCTAGCATCCCCTAATGGACAAATATGCACAATACACATACAGCAGCAGTCCATCCCTAATATTAGGTCCTGTTTCTTGGTGCAAGGGTTAATGCTGATGCCTTACAGCTGGGTTTGAACCTGCTTGGGGGGGGAGGGGTTCTGTGTGGTGTTTGTATGTTTTCCCTGTGTCTAATTGAGCAGATGTGAGCATGAATGATAAATAGGCTTGAATGGATAAGGGTTAAAGAGCATGGATGGATGGAAATATCCTGAAGTTGCAGGTAACATAGATAGAAAATGTTAATGCCTGTGATCAAAAGCATTAATTTGTTTTTGTGTCTCTATGTGTGAGAGAAAAAAATGGAAGAAGAAACAAAAGAGAGAACATGACAGCACACCTGTAAAGTGGACATGCAGTGGGTTGTAAGGGTACATCAGAGGATGGAGGGAGGAAGAGGAGGTGGAGGGGAGAGGGGACTCACTGTAAGGTTAGAGGTTACGCTGATGGAGTGGCACTCCACATTCAAGTGGCTGCAAGCGGATAATCAGAGCGATGTGGCTCCAGAGTTCAGAAGTTCACAAGCAAGTACCCTGAGCCCTGCCATTAATAACACTGTACCGCATCTGATTACAGTAAACCGCAGCCGGCCGTGCTGCACAGGCAGGAGGAGAGAAAAAATCAAATCAGCTGAGGAAAGAGGTGGAAACTGATCGAGTGATTCATTGGTGGAACAATGCACAACAAAGGCGTCTGCGCGCTGTATGTAGCGCAGCAATGGAGCACCTTTTGAAAGGAGCATTTTGTATCTGAGCAACAAAACAAGGATAAGTGGTAACAATAAGAAGCATTGCACTTTATACTCTAATGGTTAATAATTTCCACACTATGTTTTTGGTATTTACCCTGCAAGATGTCCTGTGGAATATTTGCTGTGACTACACTGCCCTGCTGATGGTATTACATCATTTCACTGCTGAAGCAACATGCAAACAAAGGCAAAGAAGAAGAAGGCTGCTGGTTACAAGGTCTTTCACGATTTGGCTTGAAAATTTTCTTCCTCGTCGTTATTAAGCCTCAATAATCCACATAGCACATTTTAGTGAAAGCATGGAGAGCAAAAACTACCAGAAAATAAAAATGAAATTAAAAATACAGCTAAATAACTCAACAAATAAAGGTCTGCAAATAACACTAAAAAAAAGTGTAGCTCTCATTAATTCAAAAAAATCTCATCTAAGTTCATATTTGTGTTTTTCATTTTTCTCTCTGCATGTTCCCTGTGTATTTTCCCAAGCTTGTCAATCTATCTATCTGTCTTTATGAATTTTTGCTTCATTTTACAAACATGAGCTGTCCTTAAAGTGTGTCACGGGGTCAGCTTTTTGCCTGCTGGTTTGTCTGCACCAGTCTCACCACAGAGACGGTTTGCATCCAGCCAGAAGATCAATAGAAAACTGATTTGCTGAGATATTTTTTCTGAAAATACCATCAGGCAGGAGTGTTTACAGTTTTTGTGCAAATGTACTACAAAGTAAGTGTGCATATGGCAGTCCAGGCTTGGCCTGCTGTTTTTGATATCAATTTTTGATGCATTTAATCTGGTGCTGGTTCTTTCGCTCCTTTATTTCCCAGAGGGTTCGCCACAGTGGATGGATCCACATATTTGATTTGGCACAGATTTCATACCAGATGCCCTTCATGATGCATCCCTCCCATTTATCTGGGCTTGGGGCCGGCACTGGGAGTACACTAGCTCGTGACCTCCTGAGGCTGGGTTTGTATCTCCTCCCGGTCTCAGGCGGAGGATCTTTTGCATGATCAGGAAATGAATTTCAGTAATCGCCAACAATCAATCTCAATCCCTTGAGGTTGAATTATTCAGCTTTTAGTGAGCAGGAGGTTTACAAACTTTAAGTCTGACTATTACAGATTAATCAGTTATTATGACTAAATACAAAGACTCAGTATTCTTTGTTTAAACTGTACATATACAAAAGAGCAGATCTGAAGGTGTGTGGCTTGCATATTGTCCAACCATCCCCACCAACCACTTGTTTACGTCAAATTTTTTGGATTTTCATGATGGTTACTACTTTCCCCTTTGCCCAATAGATTTTTTGTCACTCCACGGCAAAGGGGCTAGCTGAATATAAAGACTATCGCCTTGTAAAACAACACAAACCATCAATTTTGACGATATCATGCATTTGCAGTCGTATTTATGACCACCCGATGAAGCTCCGTGTTTGCCTTCACCATCTCCTAAACTGCTAAATCCTCTGTTGGTGTCTTTCATGCTGCCTGTTGTAGCTCTGAACTAGAAATGCTGAAAATGAAGCTAAACTATGGAACAGCTAAAACACTCTTTGATAGTCACAAGGAAAATTGGATTTTCTTTTTCTTTAGCCCGTGTGTTCGCTCGTTGGAGCTACAGTATGTCTCGCTGTCACACAGACTTTGATGCATCTCAACAGGAAAAGCACCAGGTGTAATTACTACCATCAGTGTCAGCTACATTCCACTTCCAGTTCAACAGCCATGCAATTATGCATGCTTCCTCTCACGCACGGCTTTTTTGGATCCTTGAATGAAATGAGGCCATGATTTAAGGCTCTTAATTACGCCTGGGCTTGTCTTGCCTTGACAAGTATCTGCTGCTATAAAATTTTTAAGACATGTTTACTGAAATATTGAAATCAAATCTGTATCCTCATCCATATCCTGTAAACCTTGAGGGATCTAATGATGTGCAGTTTGAAAAGTTACACTTCATATCCAGAATGTAGGTTCTTTCACGTTGGCACTTTCATCCTCCTCCATGGAGATTTATCATCTTTACACGTACAGTTTAAAAGGAATCCTTTGACTCTGAATCTCTTTTATACTTACTCCCACTCCTTCCTGCGGGCTTGCGGCGTGCTCTGTATTTTATGAGCCTGGTGGGCCATGATGATGTCCTTCTGCTCCACGAGTCCCCCGCGCCGCCGCAGCATACCGTGAGGGCTCAGAGACCCCGAGCCCTGATCGGACGAGCCATCCTCCTGTCCGCATGGCACATCGAAGCTGGCCGCTCGAGGGGGCAGCCCCAGACACTCGGGGACTGCATGAGGGACCTGCAGGGAGCAAGAGCGAGCTCCCTGCGCCAGCCCGGGCCGGGCCGCGGGGCTAGACCGCCTCCAGGCTTCAGGCTCAGGGAGGGACAGGGAGGACTGGACGTGAGTCTGTCCACGCCGACCGCCGATGGTTGGAGAGCTGGGTGTAAGGGAGAGGGAGAGGGACTTTTCTGAACTGGTGAACATCTCCACAGAGGTCGGTCCCTGGCAGTTTCAGCATAATGCTGCAAATGGAGAAAAAGGAGAGAGAGGCAGAGGATGATGGGTGAAAAGCACTGCAATAATATTTCATAAACATTGCTCAGGCACATCCTGCCTGTCCCCTTCTTGTTTGTCTTCATTATGAGCATCAAACAATGTGACACTAAGGATGATAATGTCCTTTGCCCAGGCTGCCACTCTGACCCAAACTGAACCATCTCACCATCTATCAAAGAAGTGAAAGTTCAGATCGTATTCATGGAGCTCAGTGGGTGACTGAAGATATCACTGAGACTTTTCAACACAACCAGGAAGTCAGACTATTACTCTAAATGGACATTTCTGGTTACCACACAGTGTTTTTCATTTTCTGTCACCACCGGGCCAAAAATCTTAATATCCAGTTCATTTGTTTGTTTTTATGACCAAATACATCTTCAGTTTCCATCAGCTGTGCAAAATGCATCTCTGTACCTGAGCACAGCCTCAAACTGCTGCTAGCATGAAGCCTAGCATATTTGTCTTTATAAACCAAAAAACTAACATTCTAAAAGCAAATCTCGACACGCACCATCTCAAACTGCATCCTGGCACTTACTCTGGCAGATATTTGAAGGCATTGTCTGAATTAACCTTGTCGTCAGTCGTCACTGAGACTTAAAAACTGCACAAATAAAACCACCAGTCAGATCTGAGTCTGCTTAAAAAGTCTGCTGCTAAAACAAGATGTTTTTTCCTACCCCAATGGTGGTGGAGTTACTTTTAACACAAACATCCCTGCAACATCTGCAGATGCTGCAAATTTCAATCAGGATTTTTTTGAGTGCCATTTAGCTCTCTTATAACAGGATAAACTGCTTCAACGCGATTTAGTTTTTTTCTTACCTGGTATTAAACCTTTAAGACTTAACCATGAAACTATTTCCAGAAAATTCTAACAATTTTTTTTTGAAAACAGACTGTTTATTGAACCTTCTGACATTAAAAAAAAACATTAAATATTTAATTTGCATATATTTGCTACATCTGTTTTTTTGTAATTGTTTTGTTTTTTGCAATTTATTTATTTTATTTCAATTATTTATTTATTTTTTATTTTATTTTATTTTTTTTGGGGGGGGGGGAGCACTGATGATGTAGAGGTGTCAAAAACTGATAAAAACTCGTCAAGTATGATAAACTGGGCATTAAGGGGTTAAAACACTGAGCCATGTGAAATCCAAGAACTCTCCACCTGCCCAACTTGATTGGTAGGTTAACTTTATTGACTGCAAGTGAAAGAAAAGAAACTTTAGAATGTAACATTTTATGAAACCGAATTGAAATAAAGATTTACTTCCTGTTGACCTCAGTTATTTCCAACCAAACAGGGTCAATTAAACTCAGAATGGATGCCACCATTCAACTGCACTGTCATGGGGAGCTTTGATACTAGCGGTGCATATGATTAGATGAACAGAAGCTTTGAACCAGCAGCCATACAGAAATAGTACCAGCAATCATACTGGTGGGCGGAACAAGATTGCACAGAAAGTGGGTGTAGTAAAAGTAATGACATAAAAAGAGATTTGGTCATCTTTTTTAGTAGCTGAGCACACCATAAAGAACTACTTAAATTCTCATTCTGTTGCTGCTATTGTCCAGTTAATCGTGTGCGTGTGTGTGTGACTGAGACAGAGAAATATGGGGGTGATGAGGTGGCAAGGCTGGAAAACAGCAAGTTTGTGGCGAAGCCAGTCAGAGACAGACGAAACAAGGCTGTTTCCACTGAGCCGGAGCTGAAAGGAAGATGACTGAGTGTGGAGGAGCCGAAGCAAAGGCTCGGTGACTCACTCATCAGCAGCAGGGCTCCTCAGACGTGAACTGGACACAGTCTGAGTTGAGCTCTGCCCTCGAACAGAGCGCAGCGCCCGCCTGAAAGCCGGGAGAGGCTACAAGGTCAGCGCGCACATTTACACGGGTGGCTCGCTCGCAGCTTTGTGCCGCTCATGGGTGGGCTGTCGCTGATTTTAGCGCAGCCATTCAAGTTCAAAAGAAATCTGATAGCTTTTATTATTAGTCAGGAAGGTTGGTTTTTTTTTGTTGTTGTTTTTTGCTTGCAGGCAGGGCTGTGTGGAAATTAAATGTCACGGCACTTGTATGGAGAGGCACACCTAACTGGCAGGGTGGGTCCGTGAAATCTGGACAAAAACACATAAAACAAACAGAAATTGCAGCACTGATAAGGTGGAGGTAGATCAGAAGCCTGCACAATGATTATACCAAAGCAAGCTTCACACCTTATCTGCATTATTCACTCAAGTTCAAACACTTGTGTGGAGATGATGCTCTTCTATTATAAATTCAAGATTCCAGCTCCTGGCTGAGATCTCCTACGCTTTAATTAGTGCAACCAGTGCAAAGCCTGCCGGAACAAGGCGACCGCTCTCCTCTAATCAGCTGCAGGTCGACAGTTGCTTTAGATGTGCGTTAACCAGCCAGTTAACAGGTATCGCTAATTAAACTCCCGCTCCTGCTCCTTCTTTATCCTCGTGAAGTTAAGTGTTTTTGACGCACGAGCAAGACAGGAGAAAAGCAAAGCAGCAGTCACAGTAACTACACTTAGAGGCACAGGGTGCTAAAAATATTCACTGCATAAAGGAGGATCGGTGCTGCGGGAAATGCAAACATCAATTAAGTGACGGATTGATTGATGAATTTGACAGCTTTACCTTGAGGTGAGGCGCGCGCCTTCATCGTCGGCGAGCCCCGATCAGGTGGATGCTAAATTCAGCCCTTTCACTCAGTCCAAGTTTGGTGGTTTGAGGATGATTTCGCGAGGATTCCTTGAGTGATGATGATTACCTCTGTATGGCTATAAATACCGCGAGGTGGCTGGGAGCCAGAGGAGCGTAGCGCGGATGAACGTAAACAGGCACGGGGACAGGAGCGAGGAGACATGGGAGTAATCCCAGTCATCTTTCACGAGCTGGCTGCCTCATATGAGTCACTTTATGTGGTTCACAATTAATGGCGGCGTCTTCAAACTAAATTTAGGCTGGACTGTCTTGAGTTGTGCTGTTTGAGGGCTTTTCTTTTTCTTTTCTTTTTCAGCGCAGGAAGCTGATTCACCTGTGCCGAGATCACAGGAGGTCTGGCGAGAGGGAGAGAAATGCAACAGGTCTTCATCTGAAACTGCGCTCAGGTGATGTGAGCCCAAGCACCCAGGTATTCGCATGTAGCCGATTAACCGCTAGATGGTGGACTAAAGCCGCATACCTGACACATGCGCAGGTTCCTCTGGGAGACGACCATACAAGCCACCACAGTCCGATCAGTGCATATCTGTCCTCAAAGTGCATCTGCTTCTACTTCTGCACACGCAGCGTCATCCCCAGACTTTCTGGGCACCTTTGTAAACATTAAAATCACACAAATAAATCCCTTGTTCGTTACGACACTGCTACAGATTATGGGACACTATTATAATAGCGGATTATCATCATCATCAGTGCAAAATACAGATACAGAAAAATCTTTACCAACTCATACCACAATACCTGAAGTCTTTTTAGATTAAAGTTCCCTCTGATGTCATATTTACATTTAGATTCACTGAATGCTTTACTTTTCCTCTTTTTTTAAACTGAACTCCTACTTTATTCTTTTTTTCATCTTTCTGTGATATTGTGTTTATTTATGGAGCTAAGTTGTTTTTTTATGTTTTGGCTACTGTAAAAGTAATTTCCCGCCTTCTGGGACAAATAAAGTACATCTTATCTTATCTTATCTGTAAGCACACAGGTCAGAATAAAACTCCACCAGAAACAAAAAGTGATGTCAAAAATTCAGTCACAAATTGGGATAGCTGCATACAAAGCTTATGATCAAATACTAGATAATCACACAATTATTGTAATTAGTAATATTATATATTAGTTGATACCTTTCTGACGATAATTCAGTTAGAAAGAGTTTGTTTGTTTATTTTTTGTTTATTTATTAATATAAATCACACAAAGGGAAACAATGCTACATGTTTTAAGGACATCTAATGAAAAAAAAATATTAACAGTATGAAGGTAAAAATGTGCATTGCTTCATTGAAAATGGTCAAATTGGAGCATTAGTTGATTGATATTGTTTGGAAGTTGTTGTTCTTCGTCCTTTGAGCTGCTTTTTGACAGACTCCACGCCGGCTGTTGTCTCTCTGTAACTCTCTGTAACTCGACTCGACTCGATCTTCTCCACCATAAAAGCTGATGGAGACGATGGAGTCTTTGTCCAGCAGGTACTTTCCTCTGTGCAGCAGACTTCTCAAACTCTGTTAGAAGGGCTTTCTTGGTCACCTCCTCTGATTGAAGCCTTCTCTCTGTAGGGTCCAGGTGCTTCAAAACTTCTTCCATCTCAGTTATCGAGGCCACGGTGCCCTTGAGGACACTGAATGCTTTCATTGCCCCTGACCTGATTGATGCCTCACCATAAGTGAATTTCTTAGACTTCGTGATTTCGTTTTTGTGCCAGCGGTGCCTTCAGGAACGTGGGATCTTTATGTACACAGTGTGGCTTTCTAAACTATGTCCAATAAAATTTGCCTCAGGTGGCTCAGAGTTTCGAACACATCTTAATTAAAGAAAACAGGGTGCAGTCTGAAGTACCACAGCAGAGTCTGAATAGTCTTGTAAATGAAAGATTACCATTTTTTTAAGACAATAATTTATCATTATGAGATACTGAGGATAGATTGATGGTGAAATTACTTAATTATATCCATTCAAAACAGTAGCAACACAGAGGTAGAAGATCTGAATATATAGTGCTTAAATGAAAACATACAGATGTATAAGCATCAGTCTGACTGAGATGCTATCTTTCAAATTGCAGTTTGGTCTCTTAACCGTTCTTTTAAAAACTCATCTCAGCCTCTGTTCATTAAGAGTTTTTACATATCAGGATATAAACGTATATATATTTTAAAAATCTGGTCCTCAGAAGCTCTTAAAATTAGGCAAATACAACCTGAGATGAACAACAATACATAACAAGTAGCACTGTGTCAGTATTTATTTAACAATAATAGTGCAAAACTGCAGAAGCAGTATGTGAAAAACTAAGTCCACACCTTGATTCAGTAGCTTGTAGAATCACCTTTTCTTTTGTCTTTTGTGCAACCTTTAGCCCCTTGTATCATTGTAGAAGATGTTTCTTTACCACATTGCTTCAGTGGATTGAGGTTTCATTGGACATTCTCTTGTAGATTTGCTGCTGTGTTTGGGATCTTTGTCCTGCTGCATGACCCAATTTTAGCCAAGCTTTAGCTGTTGGACAGTTTGCTCTAGAATAATTAGGTATTGACTCAGTAACTACAAGGTACCCATGTCCTGTGGCTCCAAAATTAGCCCAAATCATCCCCCTTCCACCACCACCAGGTCTTGTGGTTTGTTCAGATGTACCTTGCAAACCTATGTCGTGCTGCAATGTGCTTTTTGGACAGAAGATGTTTTCCCCTGGAAACCTTTCTAGCCAAACATGTTCAGGCTTTTTCTAATCGTGCCGTCATGAACTTTTACATCTAACATGCGCCGCTCTTGGGTTTTTTGCAGTTTCTCTGGGCTTTGTCCTGTCTGACTTTGGGGTGAATTTGCTGGGACGTCCACTCCCGAGAAAATCAGCAGTTGTATTGGCATCGTCAATGATGGACTCTAGATTGTTTGGAAATGACCTTATAACCCTTCCCAGATTGAAGGGCAGCCATACTTTTTTTCTCTGAGATCATTACTGATGCTTTCCTCGTTGGCACTGACCTATCAACACCTCAGTGCTCCAGACAAACTACTTCTTCTATAGAGGTGTTCACATTTCCTAATGATCAGTTAATTGAGTGCATATGTGTAGCAGCAGGTGACTGCTACTTACCCTCTTAATTCCTATTGGAGCTGAAGATTTTCGCACGGTGCTTCTGGCTTAATTTTTGTTAAATAAATACTGAAATACTGCAATCACATGTTGATCATCTGAGGTTGTATTTTTATAAGCCCTTTTACTGTATACGCTCCTGTATAATTATTAAACTAGAGCCGAGGACAGAGAATACTCTCCCTTTAATTAAAACAGAGCATGATGGTCCACGTAGTTAATTAAAAGGTCAGCCATGTTCATTTTAAGCAATCCCGGTATTCCCTGCGCTGAGGAGGAAAAGTGTTAGCGGTGGGACTGAGAGTACTGCAGAAACCATCTGCTGCCACCAACACTGAAGGGTAAATGAAGACTTCAAGTCCACGCATGCTACACACTCAGAGTTAAAGCTGCATTTCTCCCTCTAAACCTCTTAATTTTCCTCCTTGGACGCCACTCCATGTGTTTGTCTTAATCAAGACTCTGCAATTCTTTCATTACCCAAAGTCTCCTCAAGTGATAGCGATAATGTCTAGCCACCAGTGGCCAAAGAACGAGCTCGCAGACTGCAGTATCTTTGTAGTTGTTGTCAGACATGTCTCTAAGGACTCTGACATGGAGCACGCTCAGTATTTTCTTGTGTCCTGACGCCATATTGAGAGAATTAGACATGGATTTATGTAATCTAACAGAATCATCTCTGTGAGGAAATAATTGCCGTCTTATCCTCTGGGCACGTGGCCAAGTGGATGCGTGAAATGGAGACGCCAAGCAGACAAACTGCCTCCACTGAAACGGGAAACATCAGGTGTATGTGCAGGGAGACATGCGTGGCGTTTTGTGCACGAGACAGCTGGTAATAAATGGTTGGAAAATCAAATCTGGTCTGGCATGAGAGGCCGCCCTCGGGGTAAACATCAGGTTTGGTTTGTATGCTTGCTGCTTCACGTTTTGAAGATTCTTGCAGGGTGTGATTTTTTTTTTTTTTTTTTTTTTGGTATCCTAAGGTGCCAAAAGCTTAAATGTATTAACAGTCTTGCCTTTTGTTGGAAGAGGTTGTTTCAGAGTATGAGGACAAGTCTTTACTGGTATTATCTACAACAGTCAGTCTGAGAGGTTTAACAGGCGTCTCTTTAATCGTCGAGTGACCGAGTATGGTCAGCATGACCCCAGATTTAGATCTATACTTGTATTTCTATCAGTAAAAATCATTCCTACTGGAAATTAGCCACTTCTCCAGCTTTTTCCAGGAACCAACTCATGCAGTGGGTGTGGTGAGTGGGTATTTGTCTCTAAGCACTATATCTAATTTTACTGTAATTTCACACTAATCACTGCTTAAACTTAAACTACTTTTTATTTGTGCTTTCATGCCTCTACTGAGTGCTTTAACACTGGCACCCACATTCATATTTTTACAGGGAACCAAGCAAACCTAGACTAGTAATATTTACTGCAGCAGAGACCTTAAGGTAGATACAGTTGGGGGCAATGAGTTCGGTTAACTTATTTTTCTATAAAAGTGACTCAAACCCATAATTAATTCAATTTGAATGTTTTAGAACATAAATATAAAGGAAAGTGTGCAGGTATGATAAACACAAATAGAGCTATTCAAAAGATTCCTGTGTAAACTATAATGGGGCTTTTTATCACCCCATTGGAAGCAAGAACTGCAATCAAGTGACTGTGATTGTGTTTGGCCCACTCTTCTTTGGAGAATTGTTTGAATTCAGCCACGCTGGTGTGTTCGATCACGGCCTGTTTAAGGTCAGGTCAAAGCATCTCAGTTGGATTTGAGACCACTGTTTGACTGAGTCACTCCAAAACAGTCATTGTGTTTCTTCTTGAGCCATTCAGAGGTGGACTTGTTTCAGATCATTGTCCTGCTGCATAACCCAAGCATGCCTGAGCTTCATGAACTGATGACCGCGCTCCCTTAATTTAGTAAACGTTCCTTCCTTTGCTTTATCAAGGTGTTTTTGTTTTCCTCCTCTTTTCTTTAGCATTAGTTCAGGCAGGCTGACCTCATAGGTCAGAGCACCTCGGCTTTCTAGGCATCCAGTAGGGCTTCAATTTATGTTCTCTAACCTGCCCACAGTGACTGCACCCCTGCAAACCACTTTGTAATCCACCCTTGCACCAGGTCACCCTTTGTATTCTGTTTTTGACTTAACCAATGCAACATCTGATGCTGCTCCACATGTGTGTGTGGAAGTCCCACAACAGAGACATGCCAGCAAATATCTTCT